GATGAGATGAGATGAGATGGGATGGGATAGGATGGGATGTGATAAAAAAGAAAAGAATAAATTAAATATTGTTTGTTGTTTGTTTAGTTGTTGTCGTCGCTTTTGTTTTCTCTTTTAATTTTCATGTTTCATTTTTTCTGGTCTTTTTTATGCGAATGAAATCAAGCTTAAAGTTCTATTTCATTGAAATCACCATTTTTAGCCTTTGAAAATAAAACTTCTGTCTATGATAATTTGATTCAAGTTTCATTGAGTCGTTGATAGCTTCTTTATGCTTTTCCTCGTAACATTTCATCGAAATCTGAGCTCTTAAAAGGTGTAAAAAATTGTCTGTCTGTCCCCCCCGCCCCACTCTAAAATTCTCGGATCCGCCATTGATTGTCTGTCATTCTTGAAAGTTATAGTTATAATCAATAATTTTGCAATTTTCAGATTAATGATGAGTTAAGAAAACTAGCCAACCAGCCGTCTAGTGTCCAGAGAAGAGTGTTCAGCGTTGGCAACTCTTACCAAGGAAGACCACAGAATGCTATTGAGGTAACTAGCGTAGTGATGATTATTAACTCTGATCCTTGGATTCAAATGAAGCTTGTGGCTCATCTGAACATAATTTCTATAATCGCCGAATCGAAAAATTGCGACCAATTTGAACAACAATTGTTCCGCACTGACTAGCGACTGACTAGCCTCTCATACTCCGACGAAGGACTAGCGTCCGAAACGTCAGCAAGTTTTTTCATCTTTTCACGGTGTAAAATTTACCCTATTGTCATTACTGATTCATTAGAAACACCGACGCAGCTCACACTAGTTTTTAGCTAGTTATCTCTTTATACATGTGAAACGGTTTTTATGTTTCCACAAGAGACTAGTCAGTCGCTAATCAGTCCAGAACAATAGTTATTTAAATTGGTCGCCATATTTCGATTCGACATATGAAGTTGCACAGTATTGGAAATGGTATAATGAACGAGGATTTTTATTAATAATAATAAAATTTATTACAGTCTCAAAGCTTCTAGCTTGGCACACGTGTCTTGCTGATCGGGGAGACCAAAACAAAGTTCACATTCTTGTATATACTATTTTATATATATATCACTTCAAAAGCAGGCAGAATTCTTTTTATTTCACTTTTCCGGCTTATATATTATTTTTAACGGTTTTACTTATTAAATAATCACTTGACGCAGCCATATAATGCTAAATAAGTAATATTTAAAGGAGTATGTATATATTTTCAACCTTCCCAGATTAAAGGAAAATCTTTCAGCAACAAACCAGTGTTCTTCATGAACTGTGGTATTCACGCCAGAGAATGGATTTCACCAGCGACATGCATGTACATCATAAGCCAGGTATTTATTTTAATTACCACGAATGCATCGAATTACAAATCAATACAGGACTATACTACACTTTTGTAATACCAAGATACTATTTTTGGAGTGCAGGTTACGTCATAGCCGCCATCTTGAACCAATATGGCGGCTGTTTAACTTTCTTTATATATCTCGAGGGATTTTCAATCATGTGGTTCCACTTGAAGAATATTAAAGAAGTCGAAATTAAAAAAATAGCCTTACGTTTCATGAGTTTAAACTTTCGTAGTTCCTAAAGTTCATTTGTCACACAAAAAGAGTCAAATTTGGATGGGTTTGCAATAGCACGTAAGAAGTTTTTAGACGACACTGCAAAACGATTATAAGCATGCGTAGACGTTTCTCACTTATGCCGATTTCAGGACTTTATTACATTTATGTTTCCTGAAGAATTTTGAATTAAAACAATCGCATAAGCCGGACATAATTTATTCTACATATGACTGTGAATGACTATTTATTGTTTAGATTCTTACGATTTCTATGTATTCACATGACAGTATGAGTTGAGAGATGACATATATATGTATTTTTTTTTCCATTTCATTTAGTTTGTTAATAAATACGGAAAGGACGCAAGTGTAACGCAAGTGTTGGACAAAATGGATTTCGTAATCATGCCAGTATTGAACGTGGATGGCTATGAATACACCTGGAGAAGCGTAAGCACATCAACAAATATATTTAGCATAACTTGAATTTGAAATTTTACGGGCTGTGATTGGTCGAGTCACCAGTGATTATGAGACGATAATCATTGATCTTCAGCGGAAGTAAAATTATCAAAGCGGAAGTAAAAATGAAAATGGATTCTTATCCTGAATTTCGTCTTTTCTCTCATATTCAAGTCTAAACGTATCTTAAAGATAATATTCACCTTAGGCTTATAGATATACACGACTTTCAAAAATGGCCGCCCAACTCGGTTGGGACTAGGGACAATTGAATGGAAGCGAGGTAATTAAGGCCTCATTAGTAAACAAAGTCTAATCACCCTTACTTCAAGACGCTTAAAAGAACTCGAATTGGTGAGATGAATGACTTTGACACAAAATATCGTACTGAGTAGACTTTGTTTACTAATGAGGCCTTACTTATAACTCGCTTCCATTTAATTGTCCCTAGTCCCAACCGAGTTGGGCGACCATTTTAGAAAGTCGTGTATTATCTGTCAATGTTCACCATATCGTAAACATGTGGGCTTTTTGTTTTCAAAGAGTTCAAGAAAGTATCGCTTTTGGCGAAAGACACTCAAACCAAGTGGCGGATGGTACAACTGCATTGGCACAGACCCCAACAGGAACTGGGGACATAATTGGGGATGTAAGTTATATGACGTGAGGAAACTGAATATAAATGTAACATATATCAAACATTGAGTGTCGTATTTCCCTGTGTCTGTTGTCTGCGAGACAGACCCATGAGTTAGCATCGTCCCCGTATTTTTCCTCGATTTTACAAAGTTTTTCTTTTTTTACTTGTCTTTTTTTCTTCTTCTTCTTCAAAAATGTTCATGTCGAATTCGTTATAAAACGACGGCCTTTTTGTTTGCCGCTTTTCCGCACAATCCAATTATGGAATTGATCATACCATATATAGAGTAAAGCTTGATATGAGAAAACGTGGTCGTGAATCCTCATCTTTGCCATAAAATGGCATGGAACACGCAGCACAGTGGAATAGTCCAAAGGCATTTTCTTCTTCTTCTTCTTCTTCTTCTTCTTCTTCTTCTTCTTCTTCTGTGAGATGAGATAATGATCCTCCGATGTATTTATTTGAGATGCACATTCAATATGAAACATGCGATAAGACTTTCTATTAGTGAAACAATGTTATGAACATTATACAGGCATCACAGGTATCAATGCGTATGAGAATATATATGAAATATATATTTGTACTGCGGTTGTATCGTATCAAGTTGATGTGATGCTCACAGTATATGAAGCAGCTTATGCAGCTGCAAATTGAAAGTTCAATTTCATATATTCTCATACAATTATATATCTTTCCTATCGGGCCGATAAACCCATCTAATTTGTTCTTGAAGTCTCATATAAGACTTGGTAGCTCAGTGTTTAGAGCATGGCACCGGAATCGCCAGGGCACGAGTTTAAAACCCAGAATTTTTCTGAGTCTTTTAATTTGCAGCTGCATAAGTTGCTTCATATACTGCGAGGATCAGCTCAACTTGATACATCATGTTGTATCGCTAGATACATCTAATTGATGTACTTTTCTTGTTGCATTTCGCCCTCATATTCTAAAAGCGTATTCCACAAAAGTTATTATTAATTCTATTGTATATTTGCCGCCAGATCCTGGTGCCAGTTCCAACCCCTGCTCCGATACCTACCGTGGAAAACGTGCGTTCTCTGAAATCGAGGTCAAAAATGTTGCCGACTACATGCGTCGTCTTGGAAGCCGTCTGAAGGGATACATGGACATCCATGCCTACAGCCAGCTGTGGATGATCCCTTGGGGATATACTAAGACTCCAACCAGAGATCATCAGGAATTGGTAAGGAACCTTCCCTCTCCCCTCCCCCTCCCCCTCTGTATTTTTAAACTACATGCTCAGTCTTCCGATAATAAGTCATTTGCATTATAGCGTCATTAACTATCACTACCAGACTCCATGTTTTTTCACACCAATTGTCCACCTAGGTTTATGAGGGAATACAAATTTGAGAAAGAAAGAAACTTGACGAATCATTTTGGTAGTGGGAGTAAAATGACACCATCATGCAAACGAGCTATTGCTGTAATACTTTTGATTTCAATATTTACCATATATATATATGGTTGCAATTGAAGATATTAAAAATCCACGTGATCACAATCATTATCATCAGCATTATCATCATCATCACAATCATCATCATCATCATCGTCATCATCATCACCATCATCATCATCATCATCATCACCATCATCATCATCATCATCACAATTATCATCTTCATGATCATCATCATTTATTTTTCATCATTAACATCATTGTGGTCATCATCATGCCTATTTTTTATTATTCCAAACAACGTAAAATTCTTTAAAAGTCCTTTTTTAAGTTCTAAAGCATTTGTTTTAAGATGCGAGTTTCTAAAGCTGGCGTTGATGCTATCCAAAGTAGTGGATTCAACACATACTACCGTTATGGACCATCATCTGTCATTATATGTAAGTAGAGGTGAACTTGCCATGTGAAACATTGCCATTGTGATGTTAATGTGCAAACTATTTGAACAATAGGTTTAGTCACTTTGCTTTATTGGATTGTCCAATAGATTTCTGGTTGGCAATATAAATAACAACCTCCGATCAAATATGTTTTAGTATAGAACTCTCCGGCTTGGGGTAATGTTTTCCCATGTCAGACCACGTGTCATTCCCTTGAGAATAAGATTCTCTGTTTGAGCTGTATCCATATTCATGTGTCTTCTCATGTGCAACCGAGCGCAAACCTTAAACAAAGAAATGATACTCTAGGGAATGACATGTGGTCTGAAATGGGAAAACATTACGTCAGAGCCGAAGAGAGGTCTATTTAATGAAAGAGCTCCTGAAACGGAGTAGAACTTTCCAGAATTCGGTTGATTAATAACCACAAAATGTTAGTTCCAAATCGAATACAGAACGTAAAAAGTAAAGTATGAACACATTGTCAATTAAAATGGTGTAATTAGAGGTTTTGAGCCATCAAGTGACGGCAGCCATGTTGGATGGCAGAAACAATACACACCCCTTACTTACAGCATGATGGAATGTAGTTGGAATGTAGCTTGATTGAAGGACATAACAATTACAGCATGATGGAATGTAGTTGGAATGTAGCTTGATTGAAGGACATAACAATAGGTTTCCAATTCTCAGGAGATTAAAGTTGAGTTCCAAACTGAGCAGCTTTGACTGACGACACATACAAGGGGTTAACAGTTATTTAACATGACAACAAAATACTTCCCAGGAGTAAAGAGATTATGTTTTAATTGAATCGATATATTTTTTATCAATAAAAGGGTTTTTCACGGGGGTCGGATAAAGATGCAATACTTAGTTTGCACACGCACACAAAAAAAATTTAAATTTGTAAAAATCAACTTCTAAATTCCAGTAGAATCCAGTGGAAGAAGAGCCACTCTGTGGAATCCACTGTTAATCCCATTATTATTATTATATATTATTTCATTTTTATTATTATTATTTAATATCCAAAGGAGAAATATTCCATGGGTTTGCCTCACAATATGTCTGCAGGGAAACGTCACCAATGCTATAATCAAATTAAAATAGATTGGAGGATTGAACGTTTGAAAGGCAAATACATTAAATATAAGACTTATGCTGATTTACGTTCGTATTTTATTTCGTCGTTTCAGATGAAAACTCTGGAGGTAGCAAGGACTACACTTACGGCAAGCTGGGAATCAAGTACTCATTTGCCTTGGAACTGAGAGATCGTGGCCGCTATGGCTTCCTTCTCCCACCTAATCAGATCATTCCGACCGGTATTGAGACCTTTAACGGGATATTGGCAATGGCAAGAGAGATGAGAGTTTAGTAGGGCACAACAATGCTACCTGTTGGTTAAATTTGCAGAGGATTTATTTTGCTTGATCTTGCACAGCTAAAAGAATGAATAAACTAGAGGTACTAGATATTGTTCCGATGTGTTGTTGTCAAACTGACTAATTTCTTCACTCACTCACTTAATAAAAATTCAGTATCCACTTTCAATTCTGACTCAAAAGTTTTATCATTCACTTGACCATTCCCATTTAATTATTAGAATTAATCAATTAGGCACGGTTTACACAGTAGTTTCTGATTTGATTCCCTGTTTACACGGACCGTTTCATTCGACACCGTTTCATTTTCTACTCGCCTTGAGTTTTCTACGACGACGATTGAATAATTATATAACGAAACGGTGATGTTTTGAGAACGCTGTGGAAAGTGGAGCGTTTTGCATTGCAAACGATCCGATTATGGTCCCATGTAATCGACGAAACCCGATGTTTTTTTTAGTTTTCATTGTTTGGAAAGACAAGTTTTCATTGTTTGGAAAATGGTGGTCTGGAAATGAGCTAGAGTAACACGTCATACCTTTTTCGTGTAAACGCTTTTGTAGCCGTATAATTTCTCGACCTGGTTTCGTACTTTGAAACGGGGCCTTATCCATTGCTTTATTCTTTCATCCATTCGTTCGTTCGTTCGTTCGTTCATTCGTTCGTTCGTATGTTCGTTCGTTAGTTCGTTCGTTCGTCCTTTCGTCCTTTTCATTTCTAAGGCCCATTTTGATTCACAATTGTTTTATTTAAGGCGGTAAGTAAAAGGATACAGTATGGTGGCCTATTAGATTGAGAAGCTTATTTTTGGGATACAAAATTCTAGCTACCCTATTGCTGCCCAAAAGAAAATATAAAGAATTTTAAAAAGAAGTGAAATAAAAAAGACAGGGCGTTTATCCTTGAGTAAGGTCCATACTTGCAACCATTGCTTTTATTCCAGCGAAGGTTTCCATTGCTGTGGGAAGAATCTGGCTCTGAGGCAACAAGAATCCATGATTGCCATTATCTCTTAACTCCAATACGTAAGAATATTTGATGTGTAGTGTGCCATATGTGAAATCTTTTGTTGAACCGGAAGTGCGGTCTGTAACAGCAGAGAAGAATAACAAGGCGAAATTCATTCCAATAGTAATTGCAATAGAGGCTTTGCACCATCTCGTGACAGCAGCCACGACAAGAGGCACAGCAATAGCGTGTTTTTCCCCTGGGAAACTAATTTATTTCTCGTGTATATCAGATTAGACCAGATCCAATTGTTCCTGCCTTCTGTCATGGCTGTCATTGCGTGATGACAAAGCTCCTATAGACGTTTCAGTTCCTCAAGTTGAGCAAGATATTGATATCATAAAAGTATCACTAGTGATTTGAAAAACTCTGTAAATGGGGTCATGAAGCCTGCAAAAATTGAACTGTGAAAATTCTAAAAATATAAACATGCCCGCCATTGCAATAAGAACCTCATTAACTGCACTAAATATTATTGGACAACATAGGACAGCACACAAAGTGATTATATTTAAAACTTGCGACTGACAAACATTCCACATGCAAATAAGATGGTATATGACGTCTAGTGAATTGCTAAATGTAAGATACTCACATAGCAGATTGGAAGATAAGCCCGTTTGATATTCAGTGTTAAAACCAGCGGTCTTTATTGCCTGGACAGCAACTTTTGCCACTTGGGCCTGCAAAAAATGGAGTGGGAAGTGGGAAGTGGGAAGTGGGAAGTGGGAAGTCACAGAAGTCAGAAGTCAGAAATGGGAAGTCAGAAGTGGGAAATGAATGAACTATTGTTCAGGAATGACTAGCTTCGTGCTCACGTTCAAACATAGAAAAGCGTAGTCAGTCCCGAACAATATCTATTCAAATAGCAGTTATTATGGATGCATGCAAATGAGATGCAAATGAGACAACAAGCATGGTATCGGCCTGATAGCCTCACTTTTATGATTCTTAAAACAAAAGAATTTCTCATTGCGGGTCAACTGTAACAACAGCTATTGGTCGCCATATTTCGATACGTTGAATAACTCGTATAATGCATCATAAAAGTAACTTACCAGCTCCACGTGATCCTGAGTGACTTGTTTTTTGTATCCCCATGGTAACATCCATAACTGGCTGTACGAGTGAATATCAAGATATCCTTTGACGTGTGGGACTAGGGCTTTAAGATACTCCACCACGTTCCTAACCTCAACCTCTGACATTGGTCCGTCTCCTCTGTATATCTCACTGCATGGCAATGAACTTGAACCAGAATCTAAAAAGAAAGATTAAGCGCCCTTTTTTACGTTTAAACCCATGTGCGTGTTTGGCTTACAAAGAAATGTTCTGACAGACGCACAATAAAATTAAATATGCATGCTATATAAAAGTTCTTTCTTGGATTTCATCAACTTTTGCTTTTGTTTTCACCAAGAAATATTATTGGTGTCAGAAGAAGACCCAAGTTTTCAACCCAGGAAATATTATTGGTGT